TTAAAAATGTATTAAATACACTTTTTCATCATAAATTTATATTAAAAAAATAAAAATCAAATTTTAATTTACCAACTATTTACTTAAATTTACTTACTTTATACTTACACTAAAATTAATATTAATTTTTATATTTTTTTAATATGTATAATAAAAAATACTCTTAATTCGTGCAATAAGGAAATAAGATGAAAAATCCAATCTTCATTTATTTATTTTGTTATTGTTAGTCGATATCATCTTTTGAACCTAGGCCTAACAAACAAGGCAGGTTGAGTTGGGTTTGACTTGGATCAATTCGGGTTACGATTTGGATCGAAAACAGATCACGAGTTGAAAAAGTTCAATTCTAACTCAACACTAATGAGTTACCGGTTAATCCGTGAGTTAATCATATTTTCATTCTTTATAATTATTTTTATTAATTTTATTATATACAAATAAAATTATATATATATCTAAATCTAATTAAAGTATTATAACTCATTAATACTAAGCATTTTATAATCTCAACCACAAACATTTAAATTTAAAAAAATCATAAAGTTATAAATAATATTAAGTTGATTAATAATATTAAACTTAAAATATTTAAATTTTTTAGAAAATAAAATTTTAATTTTACAATCATATTCAAACATTATCAAAGAGTTTAAACCTTTTTTAATGATGTAATTACTTTTTCAAGAATATCTTTCATTAAATTATTATGTTTTTATTCTAGCATCACATTTTTAATATTTTTAGTTGCATTACCATTTAATTCATGATATTTGGTAATTAAATTAAAACCACATAACTTTTAAAGAAAGAAAAAGAAATTATGACGGGTAAATGCTCAAAATAAATTCAAAACTATTTAAGTAATGGAAATAAGGTTGAAGGGTATAAATTAATGGAGAGAATTACCAATAGAAAAATTAATTGAGAATAATAAGTATAATATTTTAAAAAATAATAATAATAAATAAATAAACAGATCAACCCGACAACCCGTAGGTTGACCATAACTCAACCTGTGATCCGTATGGGTTGATGTTACAAGTCTATAGGTTACGGATTGAAATATATAAACCCTAACTCATTTTTACAAGTTAAGTTAGGATCGGTTTAACGAGTTGGATAGATTTTTGCCACTCTTATTAAACCACAACTATTGGATCCTTAAAATTATTACTTTTTCCATATTAGATTAATATACGATTTTAAATTTTATTT